ATGGTTATTATGGTATTTTATTCTAATTTGATTCAATGGATTTGAGCACAAACCATAAGATAATAAACCCTAACAATATACTTGGGGATAAAAATTTATTTTTTAGGGAAGTTTTTGTTTTTCTTTTTTGTAAATAATATACTTTTTAGAAAGCATGGAAATAACAATTACATAAAGCAGGAAAAACATTTTCATCTTTTAGAGGAAAAAAAATACTAGCAAAAAAAGCAAAGTTTTTTTGGATCGATTTTTTCATAAAGATCAATAAGGAGCATTTTAAATGTTTATGTGAAAAAAACGCATATTGTTGCCGATCTTTTCAAAAAGTCATAGTTTTAAACGTTTTTAAAAAAAACTCTATATTTTTTAAAAAGTCACGTTTTAAACTCCGACTTGCTAACTATGAGTACAACACATGTTAAGAGGTGCGAGTTAGTTCAAGTGGAAGGACTGAAAAGAGCAAGGGGTAGGCCCAAAAGAACGTGGTTGGAAGTAGCCAAAAAAGTTATGAAGACATGGCTTCATTGACGATATGACTTTTAATAGAGCAGCATAGAGAACCAAGATTCACGTAGCCTTAATTGGAAAAGGGCTAAAATGATGATGATGATATATAATAAAAATATATATTGATAACATATAAATATATAATATATAATACAATACAATATAATATAATATAAACTAATATATATATCAAATATATAATATAATGTATATTAGTTATAATATAATATAATATATAAACTAATATACATTATATTATATTATAAAGTAATATTTTATATAATACTATATAACCTAGTGTAATATAAACTAATATATTGTTTAATGTAAAATATCAATATAGTATATTATATATCATAGTATACAACGTAGTATAATATAAACTAATATATTGTTTAATAAATATATTAAAGTTAAATATAATATTATTATTTAATATATAATATATATTGTAAAAAATAAATAGTGATAAGTAGGTCCACATGTGAAAATAAAACCCAGTGTTGAAGTGTGGTTTTGTTTTCATGCAAAGTATACTATTTTATGGTAAAATTTTTTACCATGGGTTTTGTTTTCATATGTTTTCTTCCCTTACCAAACATGGGTAAGAAAATTTTACGGTGAAAATATTTTTCGAAAAATATTTTTAACACTAACCAAATGTGCTTTGAGCAAATTTTTTTTTTTTAATCATACTCAATCATTAGAGCCTGAGCCTCCTTTCTGAGTTGAACTGGGCAATTTTTAATAGGGGCTTTTAAGGTAAAAAAGCATTTAAGATGTATTTTTCAAGCACGCCAATTTTCTTAAAAAATTCCTTTTTAATAAGAATTTTAGATACTATGAAAGATCAAGATACTTGAGCTGTTCATGTATTTTAAGCCTGAATCACCTCACTCTATGCCGAGGCAACTTGAGGTGAGGAAAATTGACCAATGCTTTAGTTAAACTACCTTTAATAAAAATTAATTAGGCGATTGATTCAACTAATTTAACAACAAAGTGGTTACTTTTTATTTAAAAAATTATTTTATAAATTTTCTCAATTATTTTTTTTAAAAAAATGCCTAAATTGCTCTGATCTCAATTCAAAACCCTGAATAAATAACGGCCTTTTGGTAAAGAAAATTGTTTCATGCGGTGGGGACCACATTTCTACATTTGCGGTTCCCAAGGTATGAAGCATACATCTCAAAGGTGGACGTAAATAGGTAGCTCATCTAAAAATAATTGAAACTGACAATCCAAATGTTACCTTCATAGAGTTATTATTTTTAATTTTCAAATTTATTTACTTATTCATATTCATGATCTCTATGTTAAAGATTACACGTCCTTAACAATTAGGACAAAAAATCCATCCCAAAAATATAATTTTAAAAGGAGACTCATTTCTACATGGATTCATAGAAACCATGTCCCTTTAGTAATTTAGCAATTAAATTATTCTAGACAAATGATCTGAAGGGCTGTTTGGATCCATGGAAATAGATTACTCTACATAATCTATTTCAATTGAAATACATTTCGAGAAAAGTATTTCCTATGAAATAGATTTCGACTGTTTGGATGCTACATGGATACATAATATTTTCATGCATTTTTTTTTTAAATTTCGTTAAATATTTTTAGTATATTGTTCATTATAATTTCTTTTTTTTTATATAATTAAATTGAGATAGTTTATCTCTCTAAATATTTAGATAATTTCTCTCTAAAAATTTCAAGTAGTTTCTCTCTCTAATTCTTTTAGATAGTTTCTCTCATTAAAAATGTTTAAATACTTTCTCTCTCTAACACTCAAACTTTGAAATAGTTTCTCTCTTTAAAAATTTTAAGTACTTTCTCTCTAAAATTTGACATAGTTGTCTTTCTAAGGTTTTAAGATACTTTTCTTTCTAAAACTTAAAATATGCTATAGTTTCTCTCTTTAAAAATTTTGAGTTTCCCTTTTTTAAAATTTTAAAATACTCTATAAAATTTAAAATTTGATATAGTTTCTATCTCTAAAAATTTTAAAATATTTTCTCTATCTAAAACTTAAAATTTGAGATTGTTTCTCTCTTTAAAAATTTTATATAGCGTCTCTCTCTAAAAATTTGAGATATTTTCTCTCTCTAAAAATTTTCAAGTACTTTCTCTCTCTAGATTTTAAAATTTAAGATAGTTTATTTTAATATAGTTTCTCTCTCTAAAAATTATGATATATATTTTCTCTCTCTAAAAAATTTCAAGTACTTGCTCTTTCTAAAACTTAAAATTTGAAATAGTTTATCTATCTAAAATTTGATAAATTTGAGATAGTTCATCTCTCTAAATTTTGATATAGCTTCTCTTTTTAAAATTTTAAGACACTTTCTCTCTTTAAAACTTAAAATTTGAGATAGTTTATTTTTCTAAAATTTTTGAGATAGTTTCTCTCTTTAATTTTTTTTAGATTTACTCTCTCTAAAACTTAAACTTTGACATAGTTTCTCTCTCTAAGAATTTTCAGATACTTTCTCTTTATAAAACTTAAAGAGAAATACATTTCGAGAAAAGTATAACATCTCAAGTACTTTCTCTCTCTAAAACTTAAAATTTGATAAAGTTTTTCTCTCTAAATTTTTGAGATAGTTCGTCTCTCTAAAACATTTTTTAGATACTTCTCTCTCTAAAATGTGATACAGTTTCTCTCTCTAAAATTTTAAGATTTTCTCTTGAAAATTAAAAAATTGAAATAATTTCTCTCTACAAAAATTTTGAAATAATTTCTCTTTTTGAAAAATATGGATAGTTTCCTTCTCTAAAATTAGAAATTGTTTCTCTCTCTAAAATTTTAAGATACTTTCTTATTCTAAACATGTAAAATTTGAGATAGTATCTCTCTCTAATTCATGGGGTGTTTTTGTGGAATTAAGTATATTTTGTAAACTGAATGTCTATATGACAAGAAAATCTAGCCGGAAATCAATTACGAGGGTAAAAATAATGATACATATTTCTTTATTTTTTGGTTGAAATGAAGAAAATAATTAAGGGCAAAAATATATTTCAATCCCAAAATTTTGATACCAAAGCAAAAAAATTTGTCATCTCACTGCATTTCTGGAAATGTATTTTCAAGTATCCAAATGCCCCTTAGTATCTTTTTTTTGTTTGGAGTTCCATACCATAAACAAATTTTTATTGAAGATCTTGGCCGTGTTGGAACTTGAAACAGGAGAGGTGGTTTATGTCTTTTTGATTAGTGACTTGAGTTTTGTCACATTATTAAATGCCTTCCTCGTATTGGGTTCCAAACTTGGAATAAAATTTTCTTAATAAAACATGTTCTTGATTTAGAACGTGAAAGAAAGTGTATTTTGGAATTAGAAAACTTGACTCAAGGTACTTATATAGATTGAATTATCAAGGGAAAATACTATTTAAGGAGTTGAAACTTTTTACAAAAAGTCATTGGAAAAGTCAAATGACTAATTAATATTTGGTGGGTTATTTTTTTTTTTTATTTCATTGGGTACTTCCTGGAAAGGCTATTTTTAAAAGTTTCAAATTGCCCTTGTTCAAGATCATTAAGGAGGAACAATCCTGGCACTAAGGAGGAATAGTCACAAGCATTTAAATAATTTGACAACCAAGAGGCTTTGGCTGAATGATGAAAATGACTATGTTTTTTCAAAGTGACAGATAAGTTACACGCTATTTAGGATTACTAATTAGCAGCAACCAGGAGCATTTGTGTCCCTTGATTAATGCAAGGCATTTGGGTGTCAAATGATAAAAATAACTTTAGTTTTTCTTTATATGTAATCTTGAACAAGTAGTAGCATTATTTTTATCATCCAGTAGGGACCTCATGAGATATCAAATTACTTAAATATCCACCTCATGAGGTTTCAAATTACTTAAATAACCTTAAATGGCTTAAATGACCTGATTATTTCTCTTTTTCAATCATAACTAGGGCAATTTAAGGAAGTTCCTAAATGAATGGAAAAAAAAAAAAACTACTCAAATATTAATTAAGATCATTTAATCCATTAATGATTTTGTAAGATGTTACAAGCCCTTAAATAATAATTTTCCTAATTATCAAAATAGCCTCAAGATTGGAATAAAGGCACATTTTTAAAAGAATTCTTGAGGACCGAGGAGGGACGTAAATTTTTTTGAAAAGGGCACATTTGGTAAAATCTTTGATTCAAGGAAGCAAAAAGCTCATATAATGGGTCAACTTAACACTGTAGAAATACGATGTACTTAAAAACTCCATCTGAAAATACGGTTTTCATATTAAAAACCATAAAATTGATCATCTCGATCCTAAGATGAATTGACGTACAAAAAAAACATTTGAAGTCTTAAAAACAATGTTATCATATAACATCTTATCTCAGCCATCCATTTTAAAAAATTCTGACATTGCTCGATCTCCACTATTTTTATAGCTTTAAATTTCATAATTATATAAATAAAAATGAATTTTTAGGGACTTCGATATATAAGGTTGATTCTCGACGATGGGCACCTTATAATAAAAACTGCGCCCAGGGTTTTCGTAGGTTGCTGGACCGATATTTGTGTAAGAAAAAAAATGACTCGCAGGGCATTTACTCTTTTTCTATTTCACCTGAAGCCTAAATCCATGATAGATAATTGATGCCCTACTACTTTTTCCCAATTCCTTCTTTCCTTAATTCCTAAGGCACTCAAACCCATTTCACCTAAATTCCACAGATATCGACCTCCTAATTCTTCTTTTTGTTGTTTATCATCCTTTGAACATGAAGAATTTCGAGAGCTAGAAAGCTTGGTTGTATTTTCATGGATTTACCTAGTTCATGGGATGTTCTTCGGAAACAGGTATTTGAATTTCAGATCTTATTTCTTTGGGTCCTTTAACTGCATTTCTTTGATTTTTTTTATGATTATCATTTTAATGAATTCTCTTTGATGTTTTGCTGGTAGGTATGGTTAATATTGTAGATGATGTATTCTTTGCAATTAGCGTGTTAGTTTTATAGATTGATTCATGTTTGATGGTGATTTTTTTGAATTCAAGATTTTGCAGAGAAAGACGGTCTACATCATAGAATTGTTTGAACATTAAGATATGTTTCTGCATATTTTCCATGAAGGAGCAGAGTACTCTTTACCAAAGACAAACACAGTAAAAGAAGGGACAAATTAGGGGTGAGGACTAGGTAATGGGATCAAACATATTTATGGAGGAGAATTTAGTTCCTATCATTTGGCTCAATCAGGGTTCTAAATTCTTCATCCCTATTTAAAACTTAGAAAGCCTGTCCTTCCTCTTTCTGATACTTAAATCTACTTGTATCATCTTTCACTTCAGAGTGTTAACACTGGCCTTCTATTGGTCATGTGACAGGCCTATGAATGTACCACAAATTCTCAATTGTTTCACCAGTGATCATTAAGAACTCAATCCCTTTTGGGGTAGGGGGATTTGTTTGGTGGAGGATTCAAATCTGAACCTCTACCCTCATTAAGATAGAAGCCACTCACACGACACAACTAGATCCCCCCAATTGAGGGCCTCTTTCTATTGTCTATGGACCCAAGTTATATTTGCAGCAGTCTCCAAAATGTTTAGAAACTGTTTCTATTCTCCTTTTTTATTTTTTTACTTTTATTTTTTATTTTAATTTTTTATTTTTCGTCTCTTTTGGTTACTCTGACATACACTTTATACTTTTGTTTGATGACTAGTTACCTCAAATTTTAACAATCTATATCCATCTTGGATTCATTGTCTCTTGGTACACTTTCGATATTTTCCCTATCTATAACTGGGGCCACTACAATTGACTTGAAACCTTCCCTGGCATTGTTACCTTGACATTTGAGATGTCTTTCCATGCTTCCTCAGAGTTTGTGCTCCTCTAGTTCACTCACATGCTCCTTTATGAAACGCTAGATGAGCTTTTGAACCTTTGGCACCTCCTAATGAAAAACCTATAGCTCTTAGTATTTGCGCAAAGTTGTTGGTACGTGTGTGTGGCCATGGGGCCTTTAAACGTGCAGTATTTCTCCCTCTTAAAATTTAAAGCTTATCATTAAAAAAGGGAGGCTCTTTAGAGAGAGAAAGTGCCGTTATGTAACGGCTAGCAAGTAACCACCCACTTCCCACGATTACTGGGCCACATTTTCTCAGAGATTTCAGGAGGAAGCCAAACGTTGGAGAACGACCTCCTCCATCCCTCTTTAAGAAGGGTTTCATGGCCATAGAGAGGGATACAGAAATTTACAGAGTTCGCACAGTTCTGGTAAAAGCCTGATCTTTGCGATCGATAGTCTCAAGACACTGCCCTTAATCCTATGAGTAGGTCCATCTCTTCCCTAAAGTATTTCAACATTGGTATCAGAGCAGGTTATGGAAGCGTGGTGGGCTCATAATCTACAGGTTCAAATTTCTTTTGGTATTTTAGAATTTATTTTTTTCCTGAGTTTAATTTACAGTAACTTTGATATTGTGTTTTGTCATTCACGTATATCTTGCTGTAAATTTTTTCTAACCTTAAATTTAATAGTCTAAATTTATTTATTTATTTTTTTTATGAATTTCTCTCTCTTAATTTATTGCTCCTCATTTACGATTCAGTGTTTGTTTTTACTGGTATTGTTGGTTTTGGAATATTTTCTCTCCGTAAATTCTTTTTCCATATTTCCTCTCTCTAGATTGCGTTTGGCTTACGTGATCATAGCGTACTCGGATAAGTCCTCTATTTAATCTTTTGTAGAGAAAAGTTAAAGAGATAGAGACGCTAGAAGAATCATCAAAAGAATAGGAAAAGAGAGAAAAGAAGTTTAAGGTTGTTGCAGAAGAGTTATCTTGACTTAGCATACACTTCAATATTAGGTTCTCTCTCTACGCCTTAATATTAGGCTCTCTCTCTAGTGTAGGAACGAGTTGTGTTGTTATTTTCTCTCTCTATAAGATCAAGTTGCTGACACAGTATGTACTTGAGTCCACAGTCAAGTAACAGAAAATAAGGAAAATAATTCTTCTCTCTATTTTCTAATAAAATTAATAATAATAATAATAATAGTAATTTGTAAAGATTGTCCAAAAATTTTCTTCTACTCTATGCAAGGTAGCTGAGCATATAAATTTGCGTATTGTTATATATTTTTTTACTGACCATGGACTGTTCAAAATCAGGCGGTTGGCATCTTCTTTCTTCCATCTTTTTGTTGCTGAAAATTAGTGGATTATTTTTTTTTTTATTGAATCTTATTATGCACGCGCCAATTCTATTGCAGTAAAGGCTTACATATCAATTGCATGTATTTATTTATTTTTTTTTGTGACCTATAATTTACCTATAATTTAGGGATTTTCGACATATTTTATTTGCATAATAATTGTCATTGCATTGCATAATTATCCTAGGCTGTGGTCTCTTTAAGTTAGAAAATTTTATGATCTTGATTTTGTGAATTTTTCTTTATTTTTTTGTAATTATGCAATGCCATATTTTTTGTTGAAAAATATCAAATATCATTGTAGACTCTCCATCTTGTGCTAAGACATATTCACATATTTATGAAAATTATTCTTATGCAAGATTTGACTTAAAAGTAGTTGTTGCCTTACTTTATTAATTTTTGTTGCATCACAGCAGTGCGAACATAAACTGTTCGAAAAAATTTTTCTTTGAAGTTGCAGCTCACTGAGAGTCGGCGAACTTATTGATTTAGCTAGCAGACAACCTTTTCTTATACACATTTAAATTTGTTTTTGAACTTTTAGGTATTATCTAAAAATATAAAATGGCATCTAGGTTAGTCATGTCAGAATTATCCAAACTTGAAAACTCAATGGGACCAATTTTTCTATGTGGAAAAGAAAAATTTGATATATTCTTTTTCAAGATAGGGTAGATTATGTCATAGAAACAGAACCACCAGTTTTAGAGCTGCCTAATGCCAATGGTCAAGCCAGAAGGCGACTTGAAAAATGGTTAGAAGATGACAAAGTAGCTAGGACCACTATGTTGAGCATTATGGAAGATGATTTAATTAGAGTCTTTGAGGATTACACCACAGCTCAAAGTATGATAGGCGCCCTATCTGAAAAGTATGGGACCACTTCTGAGACCCATGTACAATTGTTGTTAGAAAAATACAATTCTTGCAGAATGAAAGAAACGGACTCAGTGACTGAGCATGTCAATAAAATGACAGTGCTCGTAAAGGACCTTGTTGCAACTGGGAATCCAGTCCTCGATTGCATGCAAGTGTCTATTGTCCTTAACAGTCTTCCTCCATCTTGGGAGTTAGTTGTAATTGCATTGAACCATTCTGCACAAGGGATAACCATGTTAAATCTTCTCATGCATCTTAGTATTGAAGCGGAGAGAAGAATGAGGAAGAAATCAAATGAGCTCCACTTTGCCTAAAGTTTATCTTCTCATATCCTCAAGAAACCTTTCAATTATCAGAAAAATAATAAGTATAAGGCAATGAGGAGAAATTTTAAAAATCAAAAGAATAAGGTTGAGAAGACCTGTTTTTATTGTAAGGAAATTAGGCACATCAAGTTAATTGTTCTAAGCTGAAAAATAAAAATAGGAACCAAAATAACAAAACCCTGTTCGAAATAATCAAAATAGGAGAAATGACTTGATCTGCGTAGTCCTAGAATCAATAGTTGCCGATCATGACCTGAGAAATTGGTGGGTCGACTCAGCCTCCACTCGACATGTCTCGAGGACCAAGGATGGATTCACGGATTAAAAGAGATTGCAGTCGGTAACCAGTGGATTTATATGGGAAATGACACCTACTGCGATGTACTAGGTGTTGGTACTTTCAAGCTGTGTTTACCAGGAGGAACAAATCTCTTATTGATTGATACATTGTATGCGTCCAATATGAGACGCAATTTGATTTATGTCCCAAGGCTAGACGACAAGGGTTATGAAATAAGGTTCAGGTCTGAAAAGCATTCTAGAGCTTTGGTGTATGGTACTAAAGTTAACGATTTGTACCGACTGAATATTAATGAAAGTTCATCATTTTTTGGTTATAGTAATGCTTCTTTTGATGCTTTTATGTGTATGGATGATCTATATTTATGGCACTTAAGATTAGAACATATAAATAAAGACAAAATGAATCAAATGGTTAAAAGAGGCTTGCTCCCCAATTTAGGAGAAATTGTGTTCAAACATGCGAGCCATGTATTTCTGTTAAATTAACTAAGAAGCCTTTCCCTAAAGGAAAAAGGTCTAGTGAACTACTTAGTATTGTTCACTCTGATATATGTGGCCCATTAAATGTGAAAATACATAGAGGTATGGAATATTTCATAACATTTATAGACGATTATTCACGTTATGGATATGTATACTTAATTAGTAAGAAATCAGATGCATTAGAAACATTTAAAGAATAAAAATTTGAAGTAGAAAATCAGTTAGGTAGACATATTAAAATTCTTCGAACAGATAGGGGAGGTGAATATTGCTCCACCTTATTTTCTGAATTTTGTAAAGAGCATGGTATAATTCACCAATCAACTATGCCATATACACCACAACAAAATGGTGTAGCTGAAAGGAGAAATAGAACTCTAATGGACATGGTTAGGTCCATGATGAGCCATTCAAATTTATCACCTCATTTTTGAGGTGAGGCTCTCAACACTGCAATATATATCATTAATCGTGTTCCAACTAAATCTATAGACTTAACCCCATATGAGTTATGGATAGGTGAGAAACCTAACCTTACTATCTTGAAAGTTTGGGGTTCTTGGGCACATGTGCTTATACCACCACAAAATAGAGATAAATTACAAAGTAAAACTATAAAATGCTCTTTTATGGGCTATT